ATAGGATAACTTGAAATAATATATCCTTGTCAGCTATTTCTTTAATATTCATGGAAATGCATAAAGGTATTAAGAAAATTCTTGGCTATTTCTTTTTCTTTTTTTTTTTTAAAGCATGTGGCGATTCTAGAAATCAAGTAAAACACCAATTGTTATATCTTTTTATCTTTGTATGGTTCTTCTGTTTGTTATGTATTGAACAAGTATTTTGTGCTGAAGGGCTTAATTACCGTTAAATGTAGTTGTATGTCAATCTGTTTTCTTGGGAATTTTGTTACAATAAATGTTATAAGTTAATGCAGGAAGAAAAAGAAATTCAAAAGAAAACTGATAATACCAAAGAGGAGAATGGTTTATTGACAATTGAAGGTGATCAGGAAATTAATCAACAAGCAATTGAACAGGCTATGCAGAAATGCTTAACAGGCGATGATCTTACATCGTTTCTGATACGCTCTGCTTGCAGTAATCCGTCGATCACTTATTATCTTTATTGGTACCTCAAAGTTGAGGTAACTGTAAATTTTATGTTAAGAATTCTGACTTCGTAAGCATGCCAAAACACCCATCTTCTCCATTCTTAAATAATTTTAACTTTCATAAATATATATATCATTACAATGAAGTTTCAAATTCAAAGTATTAATGATTTGTTACTTATGTAGCATTCGTTCTCCGATGTTTGCAGATAGAGGCAACAGCACAAGTCGATAAGGTTATGTCACGTATGTACACCTACGTTTTGTCACTGCTCTTATCATCATTACGAAGTGGTGGTAGTGATTTGAGAAGACGAGCTGCTTCACTTGATCAGCAAGAGGTACGATTTTCAGTCGACATTTATAACAGTCATTAGTAGATTCGAATGATATCATGCAGGTCCTTACTGTTTTCACTCAAGTTCAGATTTTGTAAAAAAAAGAAAGTTTTCTTGAAGATATCCACATTACAATATTGAAACTCAGCATATTTTTTTGATAACTTGTTTGTGAGTTATCTAAAAAGGCTTTCGATGCCAGTCGTTAAATCTACATCTTGGTTAGACTATTCATGATTCAGAGTCATACTCTTGGAAAAAATATATCAAACAACAGACTTTTCTTACTCTTCCACCTTTTAGTTCAGCTATTCAAAAATTTTTCAACTTTTCAGAATTTCGAAATGAGTTTTGAGAAAAAATGTAAATGTATCTCTTCATTTTTGTTTTCCTAGCCAAGGGAAAAATTTCAGATTTTGATTGAAATACTGGTATCAATGGCTAAGCTTGTATCACAAGAAAGCGGCGGACGAAGTCAAAAAGAAAAAGTTTTGCGACGTTCTTTACGCGAGCAACATGATTTGCTTAATCTTTGCGGTCTTCCACTACCACTGGATCCAACGATACGTGTAAATGCACTATTATCCGATACGGCTACACTCTTTAACAGTAATCTGATGCCAATGAAACTTACATTCAAAACTGAAGATAATGGAACTTATGTGACAATTTTCAAACGAGGCGACGATTTAAGGTATTTATATGTGCAGCATCAAGTTTGAATCCAAACAAATCGATTTAAACTAAAGAAAATTTCATTCTATCCTCAAATTTTAAATGCATTTAAATTAGCGAGGTTCCACTCTCAATATGACGCTATAAGTATTTATGAGCTGTAACCTCAGTACCTTGATACCATTCTCCCTAGTTTGGATTATTTTAATTTTTGATCCGTAACTCGAATGTATAGGTGGTCTATCTCCTCAGAGACCACATTAACACTTTCATTTCTTAGATCAGCCTATTTTTAGAAAAGGTCTTTGACAAACTTTCCTCTGCGTGGGAATTAACTGGAAGTGCTGTTTCAGGCAAGACCAACTGATCATACAAATGATCCGTTTAATGGATGATTTACTTCGAGCAGATGGTCTTGATTTACGTCTGACACCGTATTCGGTTCTTGCTACATCCACTTCAGAAGGATTTGTTCAATTTGTTAAAGCAATTCCGCTTCGCGAAGTGATTTCGAATTGGGGTACTGTGCAGGTGAATTATCGATTTGACTTACTTTTCGTGCATTACTTTTTATTCAAATATTTAATTTAATTTTTGATAATATCAAGAGAAAAGTTGAGGTTTGAAGTTTCTAGAACATTCTCATTTCCTTTTTATTTATTTATTACTATTTACTATTGCTGAAAAATTTTATATTCAATTAATTGTATCGGAGTTGAATTAAATTTTTCTTGAAGAAAATTTTTTATTCATTCACTGCATAGGGTTTTTTCCTTGTTTGTCTTGAAAGATGCTAATGAATTGAACAACAATTTTTTCTCTTTTTATCATAATTACTCACCTTGGTCTCTAAATCACAATTTTTTTCCATTGTATGCAATAAAAGCGATTATTTCGTTTGTTTATTTTTTGGGTAGTCATTTCTTGGGAAGTGACGCATTGTTCTCGTTGACCATGCCAACAAACATACATGGCCTTTTTTTTTTGATAATTTGGAAATTGTTAATGAGATATTAACGCTATCGAACTCACTCATTTTTTCCTTATTAATTTTTTCTCATATTCAGGTGTGTAATAAAATGAACCTTGTTAATTTTAAATTCCTTACAAAAATAATTTACTATGTTGTTTAGGTTTAAATAACTTTAAGTAAGATACTATTGGTGTTACTGATATTATATATGAAGCATAACAAGGCCAGGTAATCTGCCTGGGATTGTGCAAAAATATCCTTTTTACTTTATCTAGGAGTGTCTTCGATCGTTTCGTCCTTCTCCCAATGGACCATTTGGAATCGAAACAGAAGTTGTTGAAAATTACGTTCGTTCTTGTGCTGGTTATTCGATTATTTGCTATATATTGGGAATTGGTAAATTTTCTGTTCATTCTCTTGTCATCTTACCATTGATTTCTGAGTTTCTGAGATAAATAAATTTGAAAATTATGATTCTACAGAATTAGTATGGATGAATTTTCCAGTTATTTTTTTTAACTTGATTATAGTAACGGTTTACCGATTTTATTTAACTAATTTAATGCAATTTTTTTAGGTGACCGACATTTGCATAATCTTTTGCTCTGTGAAAACGGGAGAATGTTTCATGTTGATTTTGGTTATATCCTGGGAAGAGATCCGAAACCCTTTGCTCCGCCACCAATGAAATTGACCAGTGAAATGATCAACGGTATGGGCGGATTACACAGGTCCGTTTACTCTAGATCTGCCTTACTGAAAAAGTTTACGGTAATGAACAGGAAAGGCTACGCTCAAGATGAAACTTTCCATCAAATAAGGGGTGTTGGAGATGTTGCGTCAACCGTAATAGAAATCGAAATTCACTAGTGGATTTGAACCATAATGTTGATCTCAGTAGCATACAGTTGATGGACTTAGACGATCTTGATAACTTGAATAATATATGATGTCTGGTGGAGTTTTCCCCTTCAATATAAACCGTATTGTGTTTCACAATATTAATGCCTACTGCTAAACTTACAGTTTTCACAAGAACTTGCAAAGTTAAAATTAAACTATATAAATTTAATTTGAAGCTTTAAAATATGCATAGCATGAAACCTACGCGGTTGTATTTGTTACATATTTTATCATCTGTTAGTAGGTTTGAAAAGAAAAATAAGGATAAATTATTTATAGATTCTGCATTTTTTTTTTTGCAGTAGAGAATGGAAAGAATTTCGCGGATTTTGTTTTTCCGCATTTCTCATTTTACGACGACATGCTAATGTTGTTCTAAATTTGTTTTCACTTATGTTGGATTCCGGAATACCGGATATTGCAGTCGAGAAGGAAAAAGCAGTGCAGAAAATTGAACAGAGGTACGTCTTCCGATTCTTCTTCTGTACTTTTTTTTAAACTTAAATAGAATATAAATCTTTTTTTAAAGAATATAAATCGAAATGTGGTAGTTGGGGTATACTTCTGAACTATGTAACAGACAACACATAAATTTCTTCAAATATGATTATCACATTTTTACCTTAATTCATTTTTTCCTATGGAATTTAAAATGATGATCTAAGTAATTTCTGTAACCTGCCCTGTTTTTTTTCTATCTTTCACTGTTGATTGAGTTTTTTGCGTTTTTAGATTCCATTTGACACTGACTGATGAATTAGCCGAGCAGAAAATTGAGCATCTTATTGATGAATCAGTGAATGCAAAAATAACGAAACTTACCGATATGGTTCATGACGTTCATCAGTTGATTACTAATTAGACTGTATGTTTTGCAAACTTCGGAAATCTAAACTTCGAGTTTTGAATTTCGAATACAAATTGTGTTTACATCGGATTGGACCTGCATTGTAATTCGATTAATTTCAATTTTTTAATGTGAAAGTGAAAATAGTTTGCTTAATGTTAGCTTATTGCATGGAACTGGATTATTATTGGAAGGATTATGGAAAATTGATATGGATCTGACAACAAAGGGTCTGACAACTTGACGCTTGACAGTAAAGTTGGATCTCAACCTATAATATAAGCAATACTGTATATTGTATATACGTGTGCTTTGCGTTATAAAATTAAATTTATCGTTTCCATGACTTCAATATTTGCTTAATCTGCTATGTTTCTATAATGTTTCTACAATAAATTATTCCTGATAAAAACAGAGACTTAGAATGCATAACAATTAAAAGGAGCTTACATAGAACAGCAAAGTTTAAGCAGCAATTTCGAGGGTTGACATCATTTGCGTTTCTTAATATAAAACTTTAGCTTTTAATATTTCCCCTTTTCTTACCGCATTTTGCATCATTTCCATATGTTCCTGAGTCCTACATTATCCATATGGGTTGTAAATCATCGTTCTTGCTGGATTAATAGGCTAGTAAAATCCTTTTTTCAATGCTACATAATCGAAGTTTTGGTCTTTATTTTAGCATATCTACTTCATAAATATTTGATTGGTATCCTAGAAATAAGCTATCTCAATTCTGAAGCGTTAAATTTTCTTATGTTAGCATGAAATTAACAAAGCCATTGATATTAACAATGAAAGCCGACATGTCATGCTTGCCAAGACTAAATCGATATAGACTTGCCCAGTTGAGATATTAAGAAAAACAAAGTTCACAGTGAATGCCAAACTGAATCAATTATTGCTTCATTTTATTATTAACTACTATGAAATGATGTAATCATTGTACTTTATCAGTAAATTTGATCTTATTTCAATGGATGAACATTTACAAACTATTGCCAATCTTTCCGCAGCGAAATTTCGTGATCTTTGTGCCGCTGCCAAAAGTACACAAGGTTAGGAATTGTTAAAAAATAGGAAATAAAACTTGTTTAATTCATAATGCAATATTTTTACTATTAAATGTTTATAGTATTAATTACATCTCAAACATTCATATTGCATTTCCGTTGTCTTATTTAAAATAAGATATGTATATGGAGATGTTCAGGATGTTACTATTACTTGTCAACTACTTTATTAGCTCTATTTAAGCTGTCGCTAGTAATTGTTTAGGGACAATGAATAATGTTACTAGAGTATAATTACAATACTTTTTAACGAAAGATTACTTTTAATACTTCAATAATTGCTAATCGAATCATTTAACATTATATACCTTCGAAGATATTTGCTACTTGATAGATGACATTATGATATCTATATCATGGAGTAATTATTTGAGCATATAAAATTATAGAAATGTTAAACAGTAACGATGTAATAATGGTTACACTATACGGTAAATGTCTTCATGTGTTGCAATTAGCACTTCAATGTAAGCATCAAAAAATTAATCAAGCTGCTGTTGATTTACTTCAGGTAATCAATCACCTATAAATTTAACTTTCTCATAATATAGTAGAAAAAGTCTTAATTGTATATTGATTAGTGTTAGGATTAGGCTAAACGCAGAATATATCATTGTTAAGCATAATTACATTGGCCTATTTAATTAACTATATAATGTATCGGATCTATTTTCCGCAAGAAATTCTCATGACGTTAATTGATAATTAAAATTTAATCCGATATAAATCAATCAATAACGAACAACTTTTCCAGTAGTAATATATTGCTTCAAATAATTAATTTAATCATGCATTATACCATAAAAGTTATCATTCTTTTCGATTAATTTGAAATAAATTTATGAAATAAAAAGGAGGATGAAAATTAAACTTAAATTGTGCAAATTTTAAATTTATAATGTTTAGATTTTGTAAATTTCAAATTTATAATATAGGTTATCAGCAAAACTTTTCCAATTTGCATTTTTAGCTTTTTTTTTTCTTCGCAGACATTAATTCGCGATGAACATTTTCTGAACAAAGCGACAACTTCTGAAAGTGACACCTTGATGATGTCAACATTAAAGTCGATAACCCTGTTACCAGTAATCAAGGCTCCCATTCAATGTCGCATCCTAACGGTAACGGTAAATTGCTTACTTCCAGTTTTTAACTTTTAATTTCAACATTTAATTCAAATTTTGATTAATATTTTATTTTCATTTCGAAATTTTTACAGCTAATAGTTGAAATAATGTGTAAGGAAGAACGACGAGTAACAATTGAAATGGTAATGGAAGCTTTAACGGTTAGCCAATTTAATTCTTTCAAAAATATTTTTAGAAAGAACGAAATTAGCCAACAATTAAATGAAATAGAAATGATTAATATTTGGAATTCCTTAACTTTTACCCGCTATATTGGATGAAATATGAAATATTATATGATTAATAAATTGAGGCAGAGACAATATTCTTCACTTTTATTTTATACTATCTCCCTTTTCATTCTCTGTTATTTTGATATGACATAATTCTACATGATCCCTATTAATTAATCACTTATATCTAAATTAAATTCTAGTCTGGAGGTATTCCTTATGCAATTTAATGTTTACCAATAATTAATTAGAAGTAGATCTACTTCTTTTTTTTTTTGGTACAGTTATGCATGCAAACATATGGAAATGCCGAAGAAAGAAGTGTTCAACTGGCTTGTCGCGCAGCTATCACTCAGATTTTTAGCTTCTTTTGTACATTGTCACAGGTTAATCAATAAGTTTGACATTTTATTACAGTTCTGTTATCAAATTTCACTGGTAGATTTATGAAATTAAATTTAATACTGTGAAAAAATAAGTTAAAATTAATTCATTCCATTTCTTCTCCACAAATGTTTAGCTCTTTTGTTCAATAATGAAGCATTAAAGTATATACTTACATATGATAATAATAAAGATGGAATATAATAGAGTAATTGTCAAATTGATTTACAATTTGATTTTTTGATTTGTTTACTTTTTGATTAATTTGATCTCTTTGAAATGTTAATTATCATTTATGTGAGATTAATTTATTATTAAGTATTCATTTAACAAAAAATTATTAAATTATCAAATCTTCAAGTTAATCTATTTTCAGAATAGCCATTACCAGGAACAAATTGTCATTCTTATGGATACTACATCATTGCTGAATGAAGTAATCAAATGCGCAAATGTCACAAATCCACAATCAGATCAAATTATCATCGTGCTAGATGCCATATGTAGTCTTCTTAGTTCACAACCAATTAGCATTATCAATCATCAGCCATTCATTAATACTATATGGTACAATCATTGATTAATTAATATTTGGCCTTACTTTTAATTTTCGAAAAATTTGTAACATAATGAAATTTACTTTTTTTTTAAATTTTTTAAGATAGCGGAAAAATTGAAATTTACGGGGGACAGTGAAATTTACTGTAAATCTTCATGTCAACTTTTTTTTCTTTAAATACAGTTTCTCTATCCCATCATTTATCCGTCCAGTTAAGATATTATTGTTTTAGGGAAATAACAAATACTAATTAGGATTATAGTCAAGATTAGAAGGCTTGGGTAAATCATTTTGGATTAATGTAATCATCACTGGAGTACTTCCAATTCTCTCGTTTAAATATAGACCTTAATTAACCTCTCTAACTTTTAATTATAGTTTTGATTAATTCTCGTTACTTTCCTAAAACAATGGCAGCAATAGTCATGATAAATTCGAAATTTGTTAAGGGTAGAAAATAGTTTTTTTTTAAAGTTTTTTTTCTGAATATCAAACTTTCTAGGCGTGAATTAAGTCCATGCATGATGAAAATGTTGGGAGAACCAGAAAAGAGTACTCGTGATATTACTGAAGGTAATGAACCATTTGGACGAGGTCAAAGGTCGGTGACGACAAACAGTAAAACGGTTTTCGATCATCCGGAAATTTTACTCTCGCTGTATCAGTAAGTGATTGCTCGTTTAAATATAGTAATATTGTTGTGTTGGAATTATATCATATCAGTTTCAGGATCGTCGAGCAATTATTAAGAATTCTTGCCGGTATTCATGGAATGCGCAGTGTATTGGAAGCAATATTTCATAAAGCTTTGTTGTATCCAAGAGTGGATCAACGTTCGGAAGCTCTTCGGTTCATCCGGAAGGTTCTGTTTGAAGATTTTAACATTTCAGAATTTTATTATACTGAAGTGTGAACATTTCCAAAACTTTGGAAGACTATGAAAGTTGAGCAATCCGGAACTGCTACCTAAAAAATCTGGATTGTTTAGGTTATCCTCGTGGAAACATAACATTTCAAGTAATGTTTGCAATTCTTTCTAGTTTTAAAATAGCCAACAATTGAGTACCTCATTTGAATTCCGATATTTTTCATTTCAGATTACTAAGAATGAAGAACGTCTTGCTAATATTATTTCAATTTCGATGAGCAGTAAAACGATCACACTATGGACTATCATTGTTGATTGTATTGTTGAATGCAGTAATTCAACGAATATTGACATAGCTTCAGAAGGACTTCGAACATTACAGACTTTGGTTAGTTACATTTCAATCCTTCCCATTCCATTCTTACCATTTGTATAATACTTGAAAAATGAACTGAAATCTTTTAAATCTGAAAAGAAAGAAAATTATTAGTCATCTCATTCATTACCTACGAATTACTTCTTGATTTATAAACAAAATGGAAGCTATTTCTAGCTAACCACAGTATCCCAAATGTGTGAAGCTGATAGTGATGGGATATTGTCCACAGAACTAATTGATTCCATTTTGGCCTATTTTCCGACGGATGACATCACATTAGCTTCAACTATTGATGGTGATTTGAATATTTTATAATGTTTGAAATGATTTTTTCATGCTTTATTTTGATATAACTTTTTTTTCGGATAATTTCGGAAATTTTATCGTTTAATTACAATTATATACCATTGTATCATAAAGTTTTGGATATAAAAAATGAAGAAATTCATCATAATGTCCAAACTTCAAAATTTTTTAGATTATTAGAATAATTTGTTAGAATTCGAAAATCAAAAAACCAAATTTTTTATGAGTAATATTTTACTTGGACTATAATATGTAAATTTGGCAAAGTGGTCATAAAAATGGGCTTTGAAAAAAATTTTATTATTAAATGAAATTTTCAGATGAGATTTCAGAAGAGCGTGATAACAAACAGGACGATATAAAACGAAATAGCTCATTGGAGAATTTGGAAAGTACAGATGAAGTTTGTGTGATAAATCTTACATTGTAAACTCTTCGATGACATTTGAGATTTTAAGAAGACATTTTTAATAATTTAATTTAGATAACCGAAGTACTCGAAAAATTGACGACAAAATACAAAGGAGAAGAAACGGTTGCGATGATTTGCTGTGATTCGGCGGGTAATAAATCAGCTGAAGTAAATTGTTTATTTTTTGTCTCGTCAAATCTACAAAAAAAAAAAAGAAGCACAGTTTCTAAATTCAAAGGTGAGATAAAGTTGTAAGTAAGCTTTTGAATATTAACTTTCATCTTCATGGTATTGTTGTCATTAGTTTATCACTTAACACTTTAATTACTGTTCTTTCAACTGCATGTCTCATAATCTAACTATCATATTATTTTAGAATTTCGAAATCAAACAGACTTACTTATAATTAACACCCCTACCACGTTTTATTTGAACATTTTATAAGTATTGCGATTGACGTCTTAATATTATAAATAAGTGGAGGATTTCATTTTCTGAATTTAATTTAAATTTACGTATGTTATCTAAAGTTGGGTAAAGTTTGTACTTCAAAGGACTGCTTAGGAAAATTTAAATTGTTTGAGAAATTTTTCAGAAAGAAATAGAAACAGCAAATTGCTATGTGAATGAATTGCGGAATGTTATTCCAAAATGGTTGCAAATTAAAAGCACGATTGAAGTTGATGAAGCAATTCAAGAATTTGCATCCAATTTCTTTTCTGGTGCATTTTTTTTTTTCTAAAGAGATTTTTCTAAACATCGAAATTTCGGCTTTCAAAATTAATGAAATAAAAAAAGAACCAAGAATGGGTGGGAAATCAGTCACTTAATAAGTTTTAATTTTTTTTGAAAAGAATATTCTTTGGATGATGAGAGAAAAAAGCTGTGAAAAATCGATTATATATTATTTTATAGTTTGGAAAATTCTTTAGAAAAAAGTAAAAAATTGCTACAAAATTCCAGAAAACTGTAGTTCAGGAATTTATTATTATTAAAGATAGGTAGACCTGTTTAATTATGGATTCTTGTATTCCTGTTATCTCAGATTGGCCAATTAGTAATTAATTGTTAAATCAATTTCCATAGAATTATATTTTATCAATCGATTCCTAAAAGAGTGAGAGAAGAAAACAAAAAGCACTTTGTTGAATTTAAAAAGTTCAATAATTTTTAATTCATCACAAGTCACTTTTTTTTACCTACAAAGTTTCAATTTTTCTCTCTTTTCCTATGTATCATTTGTAAATGTTTTGTCAGGCTTTTCTGGATAACAGTTGAAATTTGTCTGTTTAATTCAGGCTTTAGTAATAGTCTCGGTGAAAAGGCCTTTGAAGACATCCACATCAATAACAATAAGCTACAGGAGCCAGAAACAAAGTTATGCATAGCTTTTTCCGGAAAAGTTTTTTCCTGTTAAGTCACATTACAGAATTCATGACAACTCAGAAAGATGCTTTCGAGTTATACGGTCAGACACAATCACATTTCCTGAATTCTGATGCCATCTATCTTACAACTTATGCAGCACTAGCTGTTGTTTTTTATAAAAACAACAAGCAAACCTTCAACAAGGTGAAATTTTTTAACGAATTTAGTTTAAACTATTAAAATCTTTTTTAAACCCTATCTTCCAACCAAAAAAAAAGTCAAAAGAGTTCATTTTTTACATGAATAGCAAAATTTCTTTAGATCTATTTGCATTTGCATTTTTAAATTTTACAATTCTATCTTGTGAAATTAATACTTTCCATTTTAGGCTTAATTAATAAATTCAAGGTTTGATTAAAGTGTTTACCATCCAAATAATAGATTCTTGATCCTTCCTGATGAAAATTTAATTGTATAAATTTTTCGATTCAGTTTTGGTTCATTAATGAAGTACTGCATAGTGATTGCATTGTATATAGCAGTGATCATTGGCTTAATACGGTGTATGAAAATTTGATAAAATTGGAAGTGGAATTTCAACCTTTAGATGATGTCATCAAAATGCCACTAATAAGTGTTATTGAAGGTATATATTTTATAAAAGCACAGCAAAAGTTTACTTTTAATTTGATTTTTAAATTTTAAAGTAAACAGTTAACTTCACTTTGCTTCCTTCATCATTTAATACTTACTTGCTTGCTTATTGTCATTTTTTCCTTTTCATTTCATTTTCTTTTATTTTTTAATATATTTGAATTATGCCATATTGGGATGACAAAATGAATTCATTAGCATCGATAGAAGGATCTAATTATAGAGTAATCACACAATCTCACATAGCCTGGCATAAATTTAATCGTTTTTTTTTCGGATTAAAATTTGAAATTTATTTCAGATTACACTGGATGTAGTGCTCAAACAATGAGTGATATACGACGAATACAGCAAATGGTTACGAAACGGAGTAAGCATTCATTAGCTGGTATGTTTATTACCAGAAAATTTGAATTTATCAGAATTAAATTAATCTTTTTATAACTTTCAAAAATTTCTAATATTTGATTTTATGGTATAAAAAGATAGTAAGCCTTAGCCGATAAAATAATTATGCTCAAATTTATCATCATTTTATGCTTTCAAAAGAAAAACATTTGGATCATAAGATTATTGCTTGGAATTCGAACCTACTGCTAATCAATTAATTAGAAGTAAATAAGTAATTTCAGCTTGTAAAGCATACCGATGGCTTTTATCGTCAAGTTGGAATAAATTACTAACAGCATCATCAAAGTTACTTTCCCTTCGTAACAAACAACATCGTATTGTTCGTCCAAAAGCTGCTGAAGCTTTTGATAAGGCTGTATATACATTATTAACCTTTGCTAAACTTTGTATTACATTAGGCATGTTTTATAATTCAATTTATCCACCGAGGAATTTTTTAACTTTTAACCTTTTCTTAAATTATACTTTTAATTGCTGGAAAAGTTATAGCACAAAAGGTTATAGGTTAGTTGAATATATAAGTGTTAACAATTAATTACTTTCGAAATCTTTTTTAATTTCTCATTTTCTTCTGAAAAAGAATTAAATTGTAAGAAATATCATCAAATATCAACAATTAGAAAAGATTGATGGGAATTAGCTTGGCTCCCGGGAATATCTGATATTTCAGGGTCATCTTATACTTTCGTTTGTCTAATTTAATTTTTACTTCGACCTTACCTTACCTCGTCTTTTTATTCTACCTTGTTTCGTTTCATTTTACTCAATTTAAACTTTTACTTTAGTTTGCTGATTATTGAAATCAAGTTATGAACAATTTTAACATACTTTATTCATTATTAAACAAAAATAAGCGCTTAGGTTCAGGCCTGAAAGACTGTAATCAAGTGATCATTGAACGGCTTGTCATGGCAACATGTCCTTTGGATGAATTGAGAAGTTTTGCAATTCAAGAAAAAATAGATTCCGTAACAGAACGACTCAACCGATGGCCATTACGGAAAGGAGATGTCATCGCAATGCTAACTATTTTGGATATTGCTATTGATTGCGGGCTTTATGCACCAAAATGTTGGAATGATATCATCAGGTGAATAATAAATAAGTTAAACTTGATTACTGGTACTATATTTCAACAACGATATTCATTTCATTCAATAAATTTTTAGAAACATTTGATATAGTGGTTTATGATTTAATCATTAATTTAAAAAAGGTTAAATAATGCATAATTTAAAAATAATTTTGTCATCGTTTAATTTAGATTTTTTGATTTCTGATTCTAATCATTGTTTTGATAATAAATTAACTAATGGATCAACACATATTGTATCAGAAATAATAAAAACATTTATAGATGCACCGAATATATCTGGCAAGTAGAGAAATATTTTTTTGGTATTATAAGTCAAGATCAGACCAATTGGATGTCACTTGTCCCTTCCAATGGTGATAATGCTGATAAGGCACAACATATTGATGATATCCTGTCTGATATTGATAGCGATAACCTTAACAGTCATACGGCTTGTCGAATTCTTCAATTCTTGATCTCAGAAGTAAACAGGTAAGCATAGAAAAGTACCGCAGCAAATAAATTATCTAATTAATTCAAGTAGAAAAATTCAAATCTGAGCATATTCTACCCTCCTCATATCTGATAATTTATGAAAGCTTTTTTTTTTACTTCAAGTTTACTATCTTTTGTTGTTTTTGCAAAATGTTAAGAATATTCGTTAGGTAAAAATATGTGATAGAAATTCAAATAATCTATTAAAGCATTTTTCAAATTTTAATCTATTTGACGTTCAATTTGAATCATTGATCAGAATTTAAATTAAAGTTTTAGTTACTAACATAAAAGTAGACTTAAGAAGGTATGAATGAAAAAGTCTGCTTCGAAGAGCTGTTCATAATGAAGTGTTCAATTTCCTTTAAATTATTTTCCTTTAATTAATTGTTCCAACTTTCTATCAATTTCAGTATTTAATTCAGATTTTACGAACGTGCTGGTAAGGAATTGAATTTAGCATCACTCAGCGAATTAACGGAAAATTTAGTAATGGCTAGTGAAAATTACCAATACCACGTGAATTCACAAAAGCCAAACTCATTGGCTGATCCAACAGTAATCCTGGGACGAATATTTGCCATTTCAATGACACTTTCAACGAGGCCTTTAATCCATGTAATGAAAATATGGCCTAAAGTGTCACATTATATAGTTCAGGTTAGTGGTCACTCATTTAAATTTTAAAGTTTTCTTCTTAGCAAAATCTTTTTTTCTAATTTTTAAAAAATTTAAGCATTGCTATAAATTTTAGGGAAATTAATTGTTCTGAATTGTAACAATTCAGGAATAAAAAAAAAAAAAAAAAAACCTTCTAATATTTCTCATATATATTTCCTTTCATCAAATTAACTTCTATTCTCCAAATAGATTATGAGGCCATCAATCTGATTTCATTTCTTCCATCTTTTTTTCATTTTCTTTTTTTTTTCGAAACATTAAATGATATATTACTCATTCTCTACTATGATCTCTCAGATAAATCTACCAGATATCCTTGAAAGAGAATTAAATCCCAAATCTTAACAATATTACTTATGCGATATTCCTTCAAATTTCTAATTTCATTATAGAAATCATTAGAATTTTAAATTAAATTTATTTCAAAATATAATATTTTTGATAATTACAGTGTGCTTCCTCACGTAGTAATGGAAAATTAAACCTTTTTGCTATCGAAGGTTTGGGTATTTGTATAGCAAAATTAATGATCAATGAAACGAATGGCTTTTGCTACAATCAACTCATCTTTCAACCATTACAAGTTTGAAATGATTTTAAAAATTGATTTAAATATTATTACAACGATTTGCATTTCATTCTTTAGTTAAAACTTCTTTTCAAATATTTCTGAAACAAAAATAGCAAAATTCAATAAAATAATCTTACAATTCTTTCATTTATGTTAAAATTTTCCCACTTCTCTGTAATATTTATGTTACCAATTCGTCTTACAACGGTTTTCTGCTGTCGATAACGAGTGGAATCCATATTTGCTCATATGAATACAGTAATTTCGGAAATTTTTGGAAGCCTTTCTAAATTTTCAAAAATTTGCAGAACATTCTTTGTGCGGAGATGTGTTTGGAAGAATCACAGGAACAGATTGTCACATTGTTGGCAACATTTGTGCATTCACACGCAAATATTATTGGCTCCGGATGGCGACCGTTATTTAGTGCTTTGAAAGCATTACGAATTGAAGACCATTCAGGCATGTTTAGAACTACTTTCATTACCATTAATTAATTGCCAAAATTGTCTAACCATTCAGACAGCACCATTTTAAACCAAGTAATACTTGTGTTTGAACGATTTCATGTGATAAGCTGATGATATCAGCCTTTCATAAGCTAATTAAATTATCGATTGTCATACAATTAGGGTTGTTTGAAGAAAGCAGTTCAACAAAATAAGTTTGTTGAAATTTAAAAATTAAAGTTTGAGAACTATACTAAAGTTGGAAATTAAAATTTCTATTAATAAACTTTGGCTTTTACTGGATATTTGATTTTCAGAAACCTTACATTCCGACTTATTTCTGGTAATTTGCATCACAAACATAATAAGCTAAAATTAATAATTAAACCGGCAAGATGGATAATTCTTCCGGGAAAAAAGACCTCAAAATATCTTTCTAAATTTCATTAGAAATTTGGTAGCATTGAAGCAACTCGCATTCAATTTTTTTTTTAAATCTAATTAAATAAGAAATTTTATTTATGATTTAAAATTTCACAGTAAAAATTTTAAACTTAATTATCTTAACTTTTGTTATTTCGTCAAAATTTCGCAAACTTTCAATTTTCAAAGTGTTTTGTTTTTTCCAGAATCAGAAAATGATACTAGCGATATGGCGACAGTATCATCAGTTCAAGCAACTGTACTTGACATTTTTTCGGCGTATCTTAATATTAAAAACACAAACATTTTAATAATGACAGCTCTGGATTATATTACATGTGTCCTGCAATATCTTCATTCTACAGGATCAGGTAAATCTTAAACGTTTTTTATAATACAGTACAATTAATTATGAACGATAAACCAAATAACGGAATAGTAATGGAGATTTGACTATGTGAATACCAACTAAAAATTTAATAAAATATGTTTATATTACAGAAAATGAATCAATGATTCCATCATCGAATGTGACGATGGCTTCAACAGCTTTGCAAAATTTGTTAAAATTGGAACGAATGCTTCATAATTTATTCGATTCGGCTGATTGTACTGATCAACATTTACTACAAAGGTATTTCTCACTCATTTCCTCATGTCATAGCTGAAATTAGAAGAGAATTAAAAGATGAAATTTAGAGAAAAATTCTAATACCTTATTGTGAATTAGAAATAATTCATACTATCTAATCTAATTTTTTTCAAATAAATAACACTTTTAATATCCTTATCACATTAAAAATGATTGCATAAAATGCCGAGAAATAATTATTCACTATTCATTTTTGAGAAATAATTATTCAATTATTTCATTTATTCATGAATTTATCGATTGATGATCTAATATTTGAAATATTTTAAGCTTAACATTTGTCCATTTCTCAGGTTAACATTACGTGAACGAACTCAGCATTGCATTGATCGATATACAAATTTATCATTTTTGATGGAACCATTATCAACTGTTCTGATTGAAGAACCATTTTTTGATTTTGAACAGAAAATCCCACCAACTGATCTTGATCGTTTACTTGAAGGCTTGTTCCTTCCTCATCTATTTTATTCATTTATTCATGACTTTGAGGAAATGTAATTTCTTGAATTTACTTTGAATAATTCCATTATCTGTTTAAAACAATCATAAAATCGAAGTTTAAAGGAAAAAAAAATGAATTTTGGCTGAATAATGATATATGAAAATTGTTAGCACCGGAAATAACCGTACCTTGGAAAAATTACACGGCATCGAGACGAAGTTGTACTGAAGTTTATTTATCGTTACTGGAAGGTCTTACGGCTGTTACCTTTGTTTGTCCTGCATCACTACAATCAAATTTACTGCGAACAATCGCAGATTTGATAAAGGATCAAGTGGATACTAAATTCGGTATACTTGCTTACGCTATACTTTCAAATATTTAAAGCTTAAAATTATCAATTTTCTCTTCTCTTAATAGAAAATAAATTAAGATTATGGAAATATTTGGGATTATTCGTGTACTAATTAAGGCTAATGAAATATTCAAAAATATTTTTGGTATTTATAGGTATCAATTTTGGCGCATATGGCTTATCAGTCCTCGTTTTCCCAATGCTACAACAATGGATGCGTAAAAATGCGGCAAAACATGAAAATAATTTGAAACAAGCAATTGGATTGTTCACAGAAGTTGTCAAGCAATATTTAATACAAACAGAAAGTAACGAATTCATTACATTTTCTCGTCTTTTTTTGTTTTTTTTTCAAAGTAATTTCAAATTTTTATAATTTCATGCAAAAGTATGACGAAATTTTGTCACATTCCAACTTACAATGTGGAATGTTAAATTAATTTGTTATTTATGTAATAAAAGATTCATTTTACAGATAACCTATGGGTTAATCGAACACTTTTTGATACATTAACTCTATTAACGGAATGCATTACCTGTGCTACAAATCGTATTGCACGTTTGGGTTATGCATGTTTACGATTTCTGATTAAGTCTTCTATTCATTCGTTAACAACCGAAAGGTGGACAATTATCGTGCGGTCATTATGGAATACAACGTAAGTTAGACACAAAAAATGTCAACTTTTCAGTTTTGAAATTCACGCATCTACTTTGAACATTAATTTTAGAAATTTAATTGATTATAATTACATTTACTTTTATATATAAAGCTTTAACATTTAAATTTTATTTTTGTTACCCTCTTTTTGTTATAATAACTTTCTTCCTCTCTTTTGAACGTGATACAGTTCAATAATCAGTAGCTTATAAATTTTCGTATTTCTAAATTACTTCTAAATTTTCACGTTTCAGAAATTTAACTCTGGCACATCTACGACTTTTAATGCAGTATTATGTCGTTGATTCAAATGATCCAAACGGAGATCTTGGGAATGTTTGTATAACTGTTGTTGAAAATTCAAATTTTTCATGTGAAACGTTATTATTGGCTCGACAGGTAAAATTGCAAAAGAATTTTCCATTAGATTAACTGTTAAATAATTTATTCCAAATTGGTATTCAAATTAGACCCTTAAATTTAACTTTTCTACATATTTAAACCAAAATCTATTATTTATTATTATTATTATTATTATTATTATTATTATTATTATTATTATTATTATTATTATTATTATTATTATTATTATTATTATTATTATTATTATTATTATTATTATTATTATTATTATTATTATTATTATTATTATTATTATTATTATTATTATTATTATTATTATTATTATTATTATTA